GCAGACTCCGGGCACACAGGACCCGCCCGGCTTCCGCGGAGAGCGCGGGCCGCAGGGCGGGAGACCCTCGTCCACCCCGAGCCGCCTGTCCCCGGGCGAACCGTCCGGATCCATGCGACCGCACCAGGCCGAGGGCTGACGGCGCAGGCGCAGACAGCCCGGGCGAAGGGAGTGCGCGCATGTGCAGTGCTCACAGCCATTTGTTTTGGTTTGGTTTTTTTGCGGTATAGAGGATTCTGCACTAGACCTAGGGCGGGCCACGGAGCTATAGCTCCTGGCTTTTTTAAAGCTTTATTTTGATAGGGTCTTGCTGAATTGCCTAAAGTGACCTCGAACTTTCGATCCTCCTGCCTCAGCCTCCTGGGTAGCTGGTGTTAAGGCAAAAGGAAAAGAAGCAGGAATAGGAGCTCAACAAGACAGGTTTATTTCAGAGCAAATCTGAGAGTCACCGCCCTGGCACTAGAGACCAGACCAGCTCATTCTTGTACAGGCTATGGGGCCTTTATAGGGTCATGAGCATAAAAATGAGGGGCCATGGAAGGAAAAAGTCACACTGGGGCTTTGGGGTGTTAGGACAAAGGAGCCGCAGCTCGCCCAGCCATCTTGAGGACCCACAGGGAGTTGCATGTAGTTGTCAGGAGCAAGGCTGAGCCCCGCCGGGATTCTAGGGTGGAGCTGTGCTTCTGCGCTCATCGGAGGACGCTTTTGCCCAGGTGGAAAAGCACCGCAGGGGATGGGACACTTCCGCCCAGCGTGGATGGTGGGATTCCTTCAGCTGGGGTCACAAGCAAGAGCCGCCTTGGGCGTCTCTTTGGCCTCTGGAAGGCTGTGTGATGGTGACCTGGTGCTGGGCCCCTTTCCTGTACGCCCTTCCGGGCTTTCAAAAATCTTTTGAGGGGCACCTGTAACTCCAGCTACTTGGGAGGCTGAAGCAGGAGGACCACAAGTGTGCATCCTACCTGGATTAATGAGACTGATTTAATGAGATCCTGTCTCAAAAAGAAAGGAAGAAAGAAAGGGACAGGGACATGACTCAGAAGAACCTTGGGAATCAATCCTCAGTTCCATATAGAAGTACAATTTTTTGAAAATACCACTAATTCTGAGGCTACAGGGCTAAGCAATACATTATTAGTTGCCTCCCCTTGGGGTTTGCTGTAAATGACAACTCTGAAGCCAACCCACTGGTCACACTGTTCCCCAGCACAAGTTGCTTCCTTTTTTTCTTCTTCTTCTTTTTTTTTTGGTCTTTTTGAGACAGCCTCATATGCAGTTCAGGCTGGCCTTGAACTCACTTTGTAGCCCAGGCTGGCCTCGAACTCACAGTGATCCTCCTGCCTCAGCCTCCTGAGTGCTGGGATTACAGGCATGCACCATCACACCCGGCTTGCTTCCTGTTCTTAGTCCTTTCCTAACTTAAAACTCTCCCCAGGAAGTAGGAAGACAGGAAGCTGACTAATCAGTAACTTTTCTCTAGGTTTACAGAACCCAGGAAGGGGGATTTAGCTCAGTGGCACATCGTCTGCCTGGCAAGCACAAGGTTGTGAGTTCGATTCCTGGTACCGGAAAAAAAACAAAACAAAGCAAAAAAACAGAACTCAGGAAGGCTGGTGTTCTGTGGTGATATCCACATGTAGGCCAGCAACATGCTATGTGTTCTTAACAAGTGGAAGCCTGCTTAACTTGGGAAACAATGTGTTTGGTGTGTATGGGGGCCGCCTAGGAGATGCAAGTCCATTACTGCAAGAAGTCCCGGCACCTGGGGGCGGAGGCAGATCTGGAGCCAGCATGTCCCTCTCTCCTTTCCAGCTACTGGGTGGCTGAGGCATGAGGATCAAACAGGGCAAAAAGCCCTGCCTCAAAAATAGAAAGGGCCAGAGATATGGCTGGGCGGAAGAGCATTAAGCATGCACGAGGCCTTGGGTGTAATCCCCAGCGCCAGCACCTCCTGGGAGCCCTTTGTGCCCCCAGAGTCCTTTAGGGCAGAGCTTTGAAGATGACAGCCCTGCCATTTCCCAATGGTTGGCTTGTGAACCAAACCTGATTGCTTCCCACCAGCTGCCCTGGCTCTCTGGGCCCAGTGTTGGTGTCCTGCAGGACAGTGAGGTGGGGACAGGGCTGGCACTGTCCTGCAGGAAGTGTGGACTCCTCAGCAGCGGGGCCAGCAAACAGTCCAGAGTCCTCCAGTTGTACAAGTTCCAGCTGCTGTGCTGAGCCCATTGCAGTGGCCCTGGGTCCCTTAGTGGGAGTAACGCTCCCCACTTGATGACCTGCCAGGGGTTTGTGGTCATCTGAGGGGGTGACTTGGACAGTGCCATTGGGCAGACACGCAGCTCAGGTGGCCTGGAGCCACACCCCAGGGATTGCAGGGTCCTTTCTGCAAAGCCTGGGCAGCCGGACAGGAAGTCCTGGGTCTGGGAAGAGGCACAGCCTGTGGCGGAGGTGTCTTCACCTGTGACTCTGATAACTGGAAACTAATAGTAAAAGATGGCACGGGGAGTGAGAGAAAATATCTGTAAATCCGCATATATAATTTTTAAAAATCGTAAAAGCAGCACCCACCTTCAGAAATAGGCAAAGTATTTGAACAGACTTTTCCAGAGAATATACAGAAGTGACCAACAAGCACCTGGAAAAGGCCTGACATCAGGGGTCCTCAGAAATGCAAACGTAAGAGCACCTCACCCCGGAGGACAGGAGGAGCCCAGCAAGGTGGGCGGGCAGTGTGGTGCTGGGCACCTGTCACCCAGCCCTGTCGGGGTAGAGCGAGGACTGAAAGCCAGACCTGCATCAAAATAAAAAGAGGCGGGGCTGCGGCTCAGTGGTAGAGAACTTGCCAAGCATGTGCAACGGTCCTGGGTTGGATCCTCAGCTCCATAAAAGAAAAAGACAAGGCCCTAGAAAGGAAGGAGCACTGCGAGGACGTGCTGACCCACGCCTGTCAGTAGGAGGCCTCATGGCCAGGAGGCCACTGTGAAACTTGTGCTTGGAAAGTTGAGCGGATTGCAGATTCTGTGCAAGCCCACTTCTGTACCCGCAGAAAGACGTAATGTCGAGGCCGCACAGGTGTGTGTGCACTTGTGTTCACAGAAGTGTGGTCCCCAAGAGCTAATGAGGGGCAGCAGCCTGAGTGTCCATTGAAGACATGCAGCTCCCCAGGGCGGGTGGGAGACAACAGGTGTGGCGGGGACCCCCCTCCCCACTGCCCCGAGGTGACTTGAGCCTGGTGCTGGGCGTGGTTGCTACACAGAAGGCCGGGTGTTGTGCGGCTCAGCTTTCGCGGTGCACCGGGAGCAGGCACGTCCACAAGCCCCCGGGGATGGTGGCTGCGGTTCCTGTTCTGTGGGGACCAGGTTCCCTTTGGGGTGGTGGGTAGTTTGGGACACACATGATGCGGGTGGCAGCTACACTGTGAATGTGCACAGTGCCTCAGCGTGGTTAAATGGTGAATTTTATGTTGTGCATGATTCACCACATAAGCTAGCCCTACCCCAAGGGTGTGGGTGCCCCAGGATTGGCACTAGAGCTTGGGTGTGTGAGAGAGCCCCGGGCACAGGAGCCAGCAGCTTCGACATCTGTAGGGCCGAGACCTAGTGGCGCGGGGCTGGGCACCCTTTAGTGGTCTCAAGGGTCAGGTGAGGTGCTGTCCCTGCAATCTGAAGGGAACAGGTCCTTCGGGGAGGGGTGGCTCGGGGCCATGTCCTTCCCCATAGTGCAGACCCAGGCCTACAGATGTGGGCGTGGCCACCCAGCCAGCCTCAGGGCCACAGAGGCCCCCGAGCTCTGTTTCTGCAGCAGGGTGAGGCTGCCTGGCTCATCAACCTTTGGGGGCTCTGCCTGGGTGACCCCGGGTGCACACTGGAGGTGTGGGGTCCTGAGTGAGGGTGGGGAGGGGCTGCCCGAGTTCCACGCAGCCCCATGGCTTGTGACCTCCTCCTGGGGGTGGAGTGGGTGCTGTGACAGGGATGCTGGTGTCACGTGGTGGTCTCACACTGACCACAGCCCTGATGCTGCTGCCACTGGGGCCACGGCCTGGGGACAGGGAAGGGCCGGGGCCAGCCCTCCCCTCAGCCCTAGCCCCAGGGGGGCCATGCTGGCCAGGGATGGTTCAGTTAGGTGTCCCTTCTTCTGCAGCTGCAGGGGCCAGCTCTTGCCGGTGTCCCTACAGGACAGGGACCCCTGAGATGGACACGGCCCTGCTGTGCTGTGCTGGCTTCAGGCTACCTGGTTGGTCTCCGACATCTTGGCCTGGCCACTGCCTTTCCTGGCACACAGGGTCCCACTCCAGACAGAGGCTTGGGCCCTGGTCCCTCCGGCCCTAGGGCAGGGCCACACTCCCCGCCTGCCACACCCCAGGGGACCTCCGTGTTGTGATGGCCCAGCCACTGCTGTCACTTGCACAAACCTGGCGCCCCATTCTTGGAGCTACTGGCTGTCTGTAGGGCCCTCCCTCCTTCAGCGACCCTGGGCAGCCTGGGCTTCCCTTCTTCCCTGGCCCTAGGCCCTGGTCATAGGGCTGCCAGTGAAGCCAGGACAGGAATGTGCTGAGGGCAGAGCAGCTACTTCGGGGCTGTGCGGCGTTGGTGACATCCAGGCCCGTGATGGCCCCAGGGGCCGGGTGAGCGGACTGGGCTCTGAGGCGCAGATGAGCTGAGGAGCCGGTGGGGAGAGTGGGCGGGACCTCAGGCTCCCTTGAGGATTCTCTGAGCCCTCCTGAGAATTCCTGGGTCTCCGTGGCAACCATCTCCAAGGGACACAGTCAGTGCTCAAGAACCTGGTTACTCGGAGAGAAGGACTAGCGGGGTGGAGCACTTTGTCCGGGCTTGGGCGCCAGCTCTTTTCAGGGTTGGCCAGACCCAAGCCATCACGTGAGGTATCCCTCGGTCACGTGACTCGACGCACGTGACCACCAGTGCCGGCTACAGAACTAGACATGGGTCCACAGCGCGGGGAGACAGTGCACCCCCGGGCCAGTCCCTCTGTCCTGCTGCTGGGCCTGGCGCTGCTCAGCCTGGGGACCTTCCAGCCCTCTGGCAGCCTGTTTGTCCGGCGCTGTGGGGACCCCGAGTTCCGGGAGTACTACTACGAGCAGCTCCTGGACCACTTCAACTTTGAGAGCTTTGGTAACAAGACCTTCGGGCAGCGGTTCCTGCTGTCAGGTGGGCCGGGCCCCGGGGGCCCGCAGCCCTAGACCCCGTCCCCCACACCCCTGCGGCCCTGGCCTCACCACCCTGCCTCCCACAGACAAGTTCTGGCGGCGGCCCGAGGGCCCCATCTTCTTCTACACGGGGAACGAGGGCGATGTGTGGGCTTTCGCCAACAACTCTGGCTTCCTGGTGGAGCTGGCGCGGCAGCAGGAGGCCCTGCTTGTTTTTGCGGAGCACGTGGGTACCCCGCCACCCCCGGGTCCGGGAGGCTGGGGTCTGGGTGGCGGGTACAGGCTCAGTTGTGCCCCCCTGCACACAGCGGTACTACGGGCAGTCGCTTCCGTTTGGCGCGCAGTCCACACAGCGCGGTTACGTGCAGCTGCTGACCGTGGAGCAGGCGCTGGCTGACTTCGCCGTGCTGCTAAAGGGCCTGCGGCGGGACCTCGGCGCCCAGGACACCCCGGCCATTGCCTTTGGAGGGAGGTGGGTCACTGGTTTCCCCGGAGTCAGTGGGGCGATTAGCCTTGCACCTTTCCCTCTGACTCCCCCTCGGGGCTCCAGGCTGCATCTGTGACCTCGGAGGCAGGAAGGGGGAAGGGTCCTAGGACCCTCCGCCCCGAGGTCAGGCTGGGTTGCCAGCCTCAGGGACCTCTTCCCTTGGCCAGCTACGGCGGGATGCTCAGCGCCTACATGAGGATGAAGTATTCCCACCTGGTGGCAGGCGCACTGGCGGCCAGCGCGCCTGTCGTGTCTGCCGCAGGCCTTGGTGACTCCTACCAGTTCTTCCGGGATGTCACAGCGGTGAGTGAGGATCTAGGGGTCCCCTGGGCCAGCCCAGCTGGGAGCAGCACCAACTGTTGTGTCCCCTCCAGGACTTCTACAGGCAGAACCCCAGCTGTGCCCAGGCTGTGCGTGATGCCTTCCAGCAGATCAAGGACCTGTTTCTGCAGGGAGGTGAGATGTGGCCGTCCACACCTGCATTCCACACCTGCTGCCCTGCAGCTGCCCACAGCCTCTTCCTTTGCCCCTTCCCTGCAGCCTATGATCAGATTAGCCGTGAGTTTGGGACCTGTCAGTCACTCTCGGGCCCAGAGGACTTGACACAGCTCTTTATGTTTGCTCGGAATGCCTTCACCGTGCTGGCCATGATGGACTACCCATACCCAACTGACTTCCTGGTCACCCTGCCTGCCAACCCTGTCCAGGTGAGGTTCCTTCCCTGGGGGAGGATGCTTTCCCCTGCGTCCTGAAGGCCACTGGCTCTCCTCCTGGGACCAGTGAGCTTGGAGCTGGTGGGGCTCAGCTGAGGCATGCTGTGGTCTCTCCAACCCAGGTTGGCTGCGACCGGCTGCTGAATGAGGCCCAGAGGATCACAGGGCTGCGAGCGCTGACAGGTGGGTCACCACGTGTGGGGCAAGTGTGGGACACTAGCATTGGCGGGGCCTGGGGGTGGGCAAGGACCTGCAGCCCTGGCCTGGGCTTGTGGACCCCCGAGCTGCTCCTACCTGCCTGGCCTGGGCAGGCAGGGCAGGCAGGGCTGGAGTATAACAGGCCACCCTGTCTAGCAGGAGGACATCAGGTCCCACTAGGCTGCCCTGGCAGTCAGGCCATAGCTGATGGGAGAGCCCAAGGGTCTTTCCTCACAGACATGTGGAAGGGACCTGAGCCCATCCCCTGCAGGCTCTTCTGAGGGGAACAGGTTGGTGGCCACTGTCTCACACCCCTTCTCCCCAGGGCTGGTCTACAACATTTCTGGCACGGAGCGCTGTTACGACATCTACCAGCTGTACCGCAGCTGTGCCGACCCTACCGGCTGTGGCACTGGCTCTGATGCCCAGGCCTGGGACTACCAGGTGGGTGTGGGTGACCCGGGCTGGCAGGGTGGGGTGGGGGGAGTGTCCTGCCACCTGACCTCACATGGCACCCCCAGGCCTGCACAGAGATTAACCTGAAGTTCAGCAGCAACAATGTGACTGACATGTTCCCCATCCTCCTGTTCACTGAGGAGATCCGCCAGCAGTACTGCCTGAACACATGGGGCGTGTGGCCCAGACCCAACTGGCTGCAGGCCAGCTTTGGGGGCAACGGTAAGCATACTGTTCTCTGCCCATGCCAGCTCAGGATGTATACCAGTCCCTCACTATCCTTGCTGTGTCCCTTTTAGACTTCAAGGCTGCCAGCAATATCATCTTCTCCAATGGTGACCTGGACCCCTGGGCCGGTGGGGGGGTGAGTCTTGGCTGGCAGGGGGCCTGGGTGGTCCCGTGCAGGGCTCCCCACTGCCAGATTGGACAGAACCAGCTTTGCTTCTGCCCACCTGGGCACTGGTCCTCACCCACTTTGCTCTGAGCCCTCTGACTTTTCTCCTGTTTTCTTATCCCCTACTGTGGACTCATGTCTGGCTGTGACCTTTCCTTTCCACTGGCACTTCTGAGGCTTCAGCTGCCCCAAGTTACTGCTTTCACTGTACCCTGGTGGGTGGGCCCAGGGATGCAGTGGGCCCTGCCTGACTGGAGGTTCCTCCCACTGCCCACAGATACACAGAAACCTTAGCGAGTCTGTGGTTGCAGTCACCATCCATGGCGGGGCCCATCACCTGGACCTCAGGTCAGTGGGACAGCCCCTCCGCCTTTCTGAGTCAGGTGGAGGCTGGGCCAGGTGGGAGGGGCTCAGGTCTCCACCCACCGTGCTCAGCGGACCTCGCTCTTTGCAGAGCCTCTCACCCAGAGGACCCTGCGTCTGTTGTAGAGGCGCGCAAGCTGGAGGCCAGCCTCATCTGGGAGTGGGTAAAGGCAGCCAGGAGTGAGCAGCCGCCCCCCCAACAAGGCCAGCAGGACTGACTGAGGGGAGCACCTCAGGGGTTCCTTGTGGACCACAGTGGCTAGCCCAGGGCAGGGCTGCTGGTGCACAAGGGCACACGGCTGAGTGGACATCTAGGGCCAGGCCGGGCACACCCTTCCAGTCCTGTCCAAGGCCCTCACGAGGAGCAGTCATTGTGCACAGCTGCTGAACCAATAAACGTTTAATAAAGCACAGACTCTTCGGTGCTGAGGTCGGTATCGGGTAATGACAGAATGCGCTCTTTCCCAGGGTGACGCCCTGGACAGCGCTCCACACAGGGTTGGGGCACTGCAGCCACACCATGCAGAGCACTGGCTCCCTGCACGGCAGTTGGTCCCTGGCCCCCAGGACAGCTGCTGTCTCTAAGTCCCCAGCCTTAGCCACCCTGCCCTGGCAGCACAACTGCAAGCAAGGCTGGGTGCCAGAGGAATGGGTGTCCTCAGCTGCCCACTTGCGAGCCCATGAGCCTGGCTCAGGAGGGCACAGCACAGCCACCCTGTGTGGGGAGGGCTAGGGACGCATCGGCTGGTCCTTTCCCACAAACACTTGAGAGCAGGCATTTCAGAGGAAGCCCCTGGGCACCTGCTGTCCCAGGAGGGAATGGGGCTGCCACCCTGACGCCGAGCTGCAGGTGGCCAGAGGACAGGTCCTGCCCACCTCATGAACTGGGTCTGCAGGGGCATGTGGTGCAAAGGCCCTGTGCTGCCTGTGCTCTTGGCTTTCCAGGCAAAGAGGCCCCAACCATGGGCTCCTCAGGGTTCACATGGGAGTGGAGTGTGCTACCCTAGGGGGTGCCCCAGCCTGGGGGGCGGCATCAGCCTCAGGATGGGGGCACTGCCCCTGACACACCAGGACAAGGAGGACCACACAAAGGCACAAAGACCCCACTTCAGGCGGGTGTGGCATAGGCGCCTCCTGTCCTGGCCACAGGGTACTACCCAGGACGAGGGTCCTCCTCCACCATAGGAAGTGGCCCCATGCGAGATGCAGGATAAGGGACCTCCACAGGCCTCTCCCCACCCACAGGGACCCCTCACTTCTGGGCACTGTCATGGGCAGAGGGAGCTGACCACATCCAGCTGAGAAGTCCCATTCCATCTGGCAGCCTGGGCCCTGCAGAGCAGCCAAGAAGATCCCTGAGTCCAACATGTAAACACCACAGCAGGCCACGGCAGCCTGACACCCCTGCACTCTTGGCTGTGGCTCAGCTGCCTCACCGGCTACCAGCCAGCTCCTCTCAGAACGCAAGGGGCTGGAGCAGCCCAGGTGACCAGCGGTCCTGGGACCACCACATGGCTCCCTGCAACAAGTGACAGGTGTTCAGGGGTCAAGACTGACGATCCGAGTGTCGTCAAGGAAGCTGGAGGCTCCCGTGGACTAACCACCCTGAATCCCATGCCTGCTGACCCCATGCCTGCTGACCCATGCAGAGACAATGGCCAGGGCAGGAGCACAGGGACCCTCAGCAGCTGCCTGCTGCCACCACACAGGCACTGTGAAAACACCCAGGGCCCCAAAAGGCAGCTGCTTCCCTCCCACAGGCCCAGGCTGGGAGCCGCCCCTAGACAGGGCTCCAGATGGGCAGCGGATGGGCTTCAGTGTTAAATACGTAGTGGTCCAGGCTGAGCAGGTCTCTATCGTCGGAAAACAACAGGTAGAGGTACTTGAGCGTCTCGCCCAGGAAGAAGCTCTCCATCTTGTCTCTGGGCTCTGGCTTGTGGATGCTCTGGACGTTGTTGATGGAAGAATAGCCACCAGAGCGGACCTGCATGAGAGCCCAGGCCTCCACACAGTCTTCAGGACAGCCACCCCCTACAGGCACCAACCCTGGCTCCGGCCCCACAGTGGGCCTGGGGATGCAGTGCCCGGACGGAGGGGTCTCCAGGGCCCAGTGCCTCACACTGGTGGGGAAAGGGCAGGGGCTGCTAGAGGAAGCCCCAGGCCCAGGGCAGCACGCAAAGAGCCAGAGGTTGGGTCTGGGCATGTGTGGCTGCATTGTGGTAAACAAGAGCCAGGCCAGACACAGCCATTCCTGGATCAAATGCTTCGTAAACGGCGGGCAACAGGTATGGGCCAGGGTGGGGATCCCTCCCAGAAAGCCATGGGCAGCCACCAGGCACAATAGGCCTGATGCCACCAACACCCATCAGGCTGTGCGCAGCTGAGGTGCAGCCACAGAGGCCCAGCCTTCCCTGCCTGTGCAGCAGCACCCCAGGGTGCCGCCTACCAGACCCCTGGGGCACCCAGCTGTGCTGCAGCCAGCACCTGTGATGCTGGCACTGACACTCACCCGCGTGTGCTTGTTGAAGCTCTGCAGGATTTCCCAGCCCCAGTCCTGGTACTTGCGGTCCCCCGTGAAGCGGTACAGGTAGAACAGGCTCTCTACAGTCTCCGGGCGCAGCAGATTGTGCCTGTCAGCCGGCTGTGGGCAGAGGCAATGCTCAGGCACAACCGAGCTCTCGGGTGCACCACCACCCCAGTATGGCCCTGGGCTCACCTTGACTATCACGTCCTTCAGGCCGGGCTGGGAGAAGGTGTTGAAGTGGGCAATCTCAGGGCTCAGCCCTGTCTCCATCTGCTGGTTCATCTGGTAGCAGGTCTCCATGAGCGCCAGGGCCAGCTCCATGTGTTCGGTGGGCAGGCCGTGGTGGACGCCCAGGGCCAGTGTCCCTGGCAGGAAGCACACCAGGTGGTCCTGGAATCAGAGGGGCTCTTCACAGCTGGATTCAGGTCCATACCACTTGCCTGCCACCATCCACCACCTCAGCTCCACACTTGAGGGGAGGCGTCCCCCAACAGGGAGCGGGGGCACCAGGTAGATGAGGGCCCAGACCAAGCACCTGCTGCCTGGGAGCTCCCGGTCCCTGCCCGGGACTGCTGTCTGCTGGGGACCTGAAGGAGCCTTGCAGGAAAGGCAGCTGGCCAGGGAAGGATCCCATGTCCTCCTGGCGTGTCGGTAAGGCATGGGACAGGGACGGGGTGGGCAGCAAAAGTCCACCCTAACAACACTCATATCTCTTGGCCCAAGTCCCTTGTTCCTTCTTTTTTGGTTTTTCTCCGGTACCGGGAACCGAACTCACGACCTTGCACTTGCCAGGCAGGCGCTTTTGCCGCTGAGCTAAATCCCCAGCCCCCCTTGTTCCTTCTAACACGCAGACTTACGAGCCTTAGAAGCCATCGAGAAAGTCCCTGCCAGCCCAGTCCACATGACTCACCATCTTGGCACTGAAGCGGCCGTGGGCAAGCTCCCCGACGAAGGTGAGCTTCTTGGGCTCGGAGCGCCGCAGCAGGTGTGCTTTTATCCCCTGGACAGCTGCGAGGTAGTCCTCCAGCAGCCTGTGGACACAGCAAGTCAGCGTCCCCTGGCCAGGCCAGCACATGACCAATGGCCGAGCCACACGTTCACGTGGGCAGATGCCATGTGCACAGCCCACGATGAGCCCTCACCCCATGCAGGCACAGTGGGGACACAGTCACGCCCAGCCTGCACTGCTGCAGGTGCTGGACAGGACAGGACAGGAGAAGCAGGGACCCGGCCCGTGGGCAGCAGAAATGGCCTCACTGTGTCTCTGTCTTCCCGCCCTGGATCCACTGCTTCAGCAGGTACTCGTAGTAGCTGTCAGCCCTGGCGCCCAGGGTGAACACGCCCAGGTGGGTGAAGAGGCCACTGTGCGTGTTGATGAACATGGGCACCAACCCGTCCTTCTTCCCAGACAGGGAGTGGATGTGCCTCGTCACGTTCTCCACGGCCTCCTGCGGCAGACGAGGGACTGCTGTGGGGAACCTTTGCAAAGGTCTGAAGAAAGCTCCCTAACAGTCTACGAGGCCAGCACCATTGTGTCCAGAGCCATACAAAGACCATGAGAAAGGACACTACACCCAGCTGCCGTGAATGCTGAGCAGAAACCTCAACGTCATGCTCCTGCACTGGGCCCTGGCTTCCATTCCCAGAGGGGATGCCTCACACGCTCCTCCAAAGAGCGCACACATGCGCAGAGGTGCTGTGCTCAATGTCACCACACTGGCGAAAGGCGTCAACACCAACATCGCCTCCCACCACGAGGCTGGCTACCATGAAAACAGAATAACATGAGCTGATGAGGACATGCATGAAGAAACAGGGTGCCCTGGGCACTGTGCCGGGGACGGGGGGGGGGCGCGGGCAGAACAGCACAACCACATGGGCAAATAGGCTGGCTCACCACAGAATCGCACAGGACCACCACCCAGCCCAGCCATGCCAGGTCGAGGTCCAGAACCCGAAGAGCCAAAACCACCTCTCTGTACACCCATCTCCGAGCAGGCATATCCACCGCAGCTGAGCTCACCCGTGTGAGGGACAGAGGACAGCACCTCAACGCTGTGGTGCGGACCGAGGGGCCAGGCACCAGCAGGACCAGCTGTGGGATTCTACTCTTGAAGAGCCCAGCACATAATTGACAAAAGGGGTGGGGCAGGGATTGTGGGGCCCAGGGGAAGAACGTGGGTTTTTGTTTAATAGGGACACTTTCAGTTTCACACAAGCAAGAGAGCTAGAGATGGCTGGTGGTGCTGGCCACAAAGCATTGTAGAGTACTTAATGCCAACGAACTGTACAACTAAAAATGCTTAAGAAGGTAAACTTGGGGCTGGGGATATAGCTCAGTGGCACAGCGCCTGCCTGGCAAGTGCAAGGTTGTAAGTTTGAGTCCCAGTACTAGAAAAAAACCAAAACCAAAACCAAAACCAAAAAAAAAGAAGGTTAATTTTTTTAGAGGGTCTCACTTTGCAGTTCAGGTTGGCCTTGAGCTCACTATGTAGCCCAGGCTGGTCTCAAACTTACAGTGATCTTCCTGCCTCAGCCTCCTGAGTGCTGGGATTACAGGTGTGCGCCACCATGCCCAGCCAAGGCAAAGCCTGCATGTATTTTCTTACAGTAAAATGTAAAAAAACAACAAAGTGGTGGCAAGATGAACACACACACACACACACACACACACACACACACAGAGCTTCACTTGTGACTTGGAAGGGTTAGCTCCTGCAGGAAGCACGTCCAACTGGAAATGCACCCATCCTACCCGGAATTTCTTAACCCCCGTGAGGCGAGAGAGCTCCCGGAACTCCAGCTGGATGCTCGTCACCTCGGCCACTGTGCTATCTGAAGTCCACCGGGGTGGGTGGGCGACTCCAGTGCCAATGTTCACGTCGGAGTACGGGATCTTGGAGGGCGTGGAGAAAGCAGGCATCAGCCGGTTTCCAAAGTCTTCCTGGCATAAAAGCACAGCAGAGGATCTATGTTCCAGGTCCCGAGGGCCTCTCCCCGCATCCCTTCATAAGTAGGGGAAGTGTGGCTCAGTGGCTCAGTGCTAGGCAGCTCTTTCGGAGGGCGCCTTGGAGGGAAATGGCACCGCGGGGGCTCAGACCCACGAACAGAAGAGTCAGATGCATTCAGAGACAACGCTGGAACATCCCAACAAGCCACCATAAGGGATGAGGCAGGGAGGCTGTGGCCTGAGTGGGGACACTCACAGCTTTCCTCAGGAACAGGCTGTCCCCCGACAGGTGGTAGGCACTCAGCAGGCCCCCGAGGATGCGGATGGTGCTCTCAAACAGGTTGACATCCACATCTTTCTCAAAGTTCAGCTTTGTTGATACCCAGTTCCTGGCTTCTTCAAATTCTGTAACAAGAGCAGGGTTCAGAAGCAGACTCACGGTCTGTCCCTCTCCCCAATCCTCCACATTCCTCCTGAGAGAAGTGTTCCTGCAGAGTGTCAGGGCCTGCTGCACCTAGAGGTGACCCGGAGGCTGTCACCACACAGACAGCAAGAGGCAGCATAGCAGCCTTGGGGAGCACAGTGGCCCCACAAGCCCTGTGACGCAACAGCCGAGCTAGTCACTGGTGGTCCTCAAGCTACTAAGCCACCAAGGGAGTGTTTTACTACCAACTCTGGAAAGCCCAAAGACACTCTGCCCAGTAAGCTGGACCGGGGATCTTATTTTTTTGTTTGTTTGTTTGTCTTTTTGAGACAGAGTCTCGCTATGCTGGCCTTGAGCTCACTTTGTAGCCCAGGCTGGTCTCAAACCTGCAACAATCCTCCTGCCTCAGCCTCCCGAGTGCTGGGATTACAGGCACGCGCCACCATGCCCGGCTGGACTGGGGATCTTAGGAGGACACCAGAGATTGGGTCATCCCGTCCCCTGCAGAGCAGGCTGGAGATGTCCCCTTGGCAGCCCCCTCCATTCCCACCCTTAGCTCTCCAGGAGGCCAGGGGACAGCTGCTCAGACTGGGCCCTGGATGGCAGACACAAGATAGGTCCTGACCACAGGCAGCACATCCCCTCCCATGCCCAAGAAGGCACAGCCTGCAGCCAGAAGGAAACAGTGCCATGCTCTCAGAGGCATGTACCTTTCTTTAGACTCACTAGTACCTTTTTTTAGACCCAGAATCCACATGGTATCCAGGGCATCGATCAGGGTGAGACCCAGGCCAAACCACTCGCTGAAGGACCTGGACAATGGCTTCAGCTCATCGTGGCCCCAGGAGAATTTGCAGTATCCTTTCCATGCATGGAGAAAGGCCTCAATCACCCCTTTCTGGCGTGCATTCGGGGAGCCTGGATGGGAAAGCACAGGTAGTGGGGATGCTACTCAGCTTCTGGAGCACAGGAGACCCCCCTGGTGGGGCCCTTATGTGATCCCAGGTGAGCATGGTGGGAGGCATGTGGAGCAGAGGGGCAGGGAAGCCCGAGCAGAGCAGTGATTCTGGGGACCAAGGGGCTGCACTGGGACCTCAGGGACAGCCAAAGCATGCCAAAGTGGTGGGGCCTCCCCATGGGGCATGCATAGACACAACCCTTCAGGCCACAAGAGCTGGGGGCTCTAGAAGGGAAATGGTGCCACGGGGGCTCAGACCCACAAACTAAAGAGTCAGATGCATTCAGAGAAAAAGCTGAGGGGTTGGACACCACCCACGATGCAGAAGGAAGCAGCAGAGGTGCACACCAGGCTCACACAGCACTTCGTGAACATGGAGTTGGGAGCTTTCACGGCGTGGGGACAGCGAGCAGGTCCTTGGCTGCACACCCATCCTTCCAGCAATACCCCAGGAAGCTTTGCCCTCACCCAGTGAGTGGTGTGTGCGAGTGTCACACAACACGCCCTCCCTCGAGGTGAACACCCTGCTCATGGCCATAGCTTTGCTCAGCAACACCTAAGGCCACGTTGACCCTGACACATCCCTGCTATGCCACTCATGAGTCTACGGAGGCAGCAGCAGCAGGATGGCGGGTACCACTCAAGGCCAGGGCTGGGCCATTCCCTGGCTGCAGAGTGGGGACATGGAGGCACTCTCACCTCAAAGAGTATTGTGAGAACAGGGCAGGCACTCACAGAGCTGCCATGCAAGGGCCCCTTGGGCGCAGGGGTAAGTGGACACGCAAAGGGACAGTCCTGTGGCCAAGGATCCATGGCACAACCCAGCCCAAGCATGGAGCAGTGAAATCAGACCTCCCGAAGCCAGCACAGGCTGCAGTAAAGCTCCTGCGGCCAGGCATGCAGATGGGGCCAGGGCCACCATGGTGAGATCGAGGGCCAAGTGGCACAGGCTGGGCTTATGCCCAGGGAGGCTGAGCGGCAGAGGTCCCTTACCAGGGTCCGTCTGCATCCTCGCTGCTGGCACAGAGGGCACAGTGGAGGCCACTACTCTTCTTGAAGGGCGTTCGGTGCCCTGCTCAGGCTCAATCACTGCTCCCCGCCAGCTGTAAGACAGAAGGAGGGTGGTGAGGACTCTGCCCCCATGAGCCCCAATCCCATGCCCAGAGGGTTCCAACTCCAAAGCTGCCATGGCCACAGATGGACAGGGAAACAGGCAAAGTCGGTCAGTCTTGATGCCTTCCAGCAAGGGTATCTGCCTGTGGAGAGGACAGTGCCAGGACTGCCCATCACCCAGGACCCTGGGGTCAGAGACCAAAGCACAAAGAGCCCAAGGGTAGTGGAGCTCAGGAAAAGTGCCAAAACAGAGGGACACAGTGGCCCCAGATGAAGGCTTCTATGCTTGTGACCACTCTGTGTAGCCAGAGCCCAATGTGGAAGCCCCGCGCAGCCCCTGCTGTGGGTCTGTGCCATGCCGGCAGGCAGGAGGAGCAGAGGCCTCCCTGTAGCATGGCCCAAGGAGGCTGGGCCACAGCGTCTCTTAGAAAACCTGAACTGCCTTGGTCCCAGGCTTAGCTGGACACACCCCAACTCCACGGGGACTGTGTCTTGGGGGTGCGAGCATGGTACACCCCGACTCCACAGAGGCTGCGTCTCGGGTGCGAGTGTGGTACACCCCGACTCCACGGGGACTGTGTCTTGGGGGTGCGAGCGTGGTACACCCCGACTCCACAGAGGCTGCGTCTCGGGTGCGAGTGTGGTACACCCCGACTCCACGGGGGCTGCGTCTTGGGAGTGCACGCGTGGTGCCCGGTGGCTGAGTGCAAGTGCCCTTGCCTCTGGAAGCTGCCCCCTCCCATCCAGATGGGCTCCCACGGCCCCACCTGGTCTGCCTGGGACACTGCTCAGGAGCAGAACTCCCGGGGCGGGCCTACTGGGAGGCTGCAGGGCCTGTGCCTGATTGCAGGGAACCTAGCCTGTCTCTCAGCCATGACCATTTCCAGCAAACATCAGGCAGGAAACGTGGCTGAAGCCTAGGGCAGCATCAGTGGGATGCTGAGTCCCTGACACTTGGCAGGCTGGCAGGTGTCAGTGTCTAGTCCCTGAGCTCTGCTCACTGCCAGGCCAAGGGCGCAGGAGTGGGAGAGTTACCAGGCAGTTGTCCACCCCACAGCCACCTGCCACGTGGGGCAGCCCTGTCCCCACTGCACCCTCCACATCACAGCCCCATTCCCAGAGAGCTATGCCCACTGGGAACAGGGGCCACAGAACGGAGTGGCTCTGACCTCTGGCCTTAGAAGAGTGACTGGGCCAGGTGTGGTGACTCAGGCCTGTGATCCCAGCACTCAAGAGGCTGAGGCGGAAGGACTGCCCAGCTTGGGCTGGGCGACATAGTGAGTTCCAGGGCCAGTCTGAATGAACTACATAGGGAGACCCATCTCAGGAAAAGAAAGAAATGTGACTGCATAGTCAAGTTTCAATGAAGACAACTTTAGAAAGCATACTCCAAGTCCGGTGGGAAGCACAGTGTAGACAAGATGCCAGGTCTGCCTGTGAAGCTCGGGGCTGGCCTGTTACTGAGTAGTCTGAGCTGCCCATGCCTTGCTCTCAGTACCTGATGACTGTTCGCTGTGGAGTTTCTTCCTGGCGAGTGTCCCTCGGGGCGGCCACTTGCTCCTTATCCTCACCCTGCGTCCCGTCCTTGGTGTCTATGTTGGGGGCCCTAATCTGCAGACGGGGTGGTCCCCGCCGGATATGCTTCCAAGGTTTCTGGACAAAAATCACAGGCACAGATGAGAACAGCTCACCTGCCTACAGGCGATGCTTCTTGGCAGACCCAGGACTCTCTGCCCAGGCATACCCTCCCGGGACAGGGACAGGGAGGCAGGGGAACCACAGCCTCGGCCCGGGAGCTGGCAGGGAGCCACAGCTCTCCACCCCAGACCGAGCAAGGCCCCTGCCTCCGCCCACTGGGCAGGCCTGCCACCAGCCGAGGGGCGTCCCACCCTGTCCTCAGTCTTCAGTCCTTCCACAGCAGCAGGCCCACTGCTCCACCCTTGGCTTATCTGTGAGTGGTGAGAGAATCCTCAGAGACAATGTGGTACATCAGGGTAACCCAAGCCCCAGACACCCAGCTAGCAGACGTGCCTGATGGGACATGCTACAATGTGCAACAAGAATCCAGACATACACCACACAGATGCCAAACTCTCATATGAGTACACACACCTGCCTCCAAACAAGCAGAAACCAACGTGCTATGTGCTTCAGTGTGGCCCTTGGGACTTGTCAGCTTCTCCAGGAAAACCACCCTGCGCATAGACCTTCATCCCTTCGTCCAAGACAGGTTCTGCCACCCAGTGGTACCCAGTGGCCCCCAGTCAACTCTGAGCACCACATACTGTGGGCTGGGACTCTCCTGGCCTTTCCAAACCCAGTCTCTGCCACCATGGGGTCAACCAGACACTGCTCAGCTACACAGATGTCGCTTTTCCCAGCAGGCTTGCTGGGCAGCCCCGATCTGCCTCCTGCTGCTCTGTACTTCCCGTGGAACATGCAGCAATCCGAAGATGACAGCCTCTCTCAGGCAGAAAGAGCAACACCCCACCTAAAGTGATGGTGGCCTCAAGCTCACCAACAAACCCTCTAAGCTTGGACCCTGGCCAGTGGACAGAGGCTGGGTTACTCTCACGTCGGAGCCATCATGGGAGGCAGCTTCCTCCAGTTGTGCTCAGGCACCCGGGACTTGGCTGCCAAGGAAAGCCCTGAGGCCATGCCAGCCAGGCACACTTGGGCCACACGGACAGCACTGATTGACACCCGAGGCCCAAGGGTAGAAAGCAGCCTGAGTGGGCACTGGCCCACTCTCCAGGCACTCGCTGAGGCCCTGCTTGTCCCCAGCCTACTCTCGCTGGTATGCTTGCTGCTGGCTCTCTTGCTGCCTCTGTCCCATCTCTGGACTCCATGCTCCCTGCTCCCACACCCCAAATGTCCCAGCCTGGTACCCCAGGTCTAGGCCTGGCCCTTCTCCACTCTTGCTAGACAACATGCACCATCTCTACCGGGGACCCTGTGTCCACCTGCCATCACCCCATGCTGCGGAGTGTCCTTCCATCACCAGGGCCCCCACAGTGTCTACAGTCCTGTTCTCCCTGCATCCCACCCCCTCTTCTGAGGCTCCAACATTGCACGCCCACCTGGCTTCAGCCCAGCACATGTGTCCTCCTGCCAAATTTTCTAACACCTCCATGCTGCTCACACCCCTTTGGACAGCTGCTCCCCAACTCAGCCCTGTGGGAATTTCACTTCCAGAAATATACTTCCTGCGCCTTGTCGCTTGGGTAGTGTCAGGGGTTAATCCTGCTCTGCTCATCCTGACCACAAACGGGCTTCTCTGCCTGCAGGTGGTATCCTCAGGGAGCTGCCCCAGCCCGCAGCACCCATTCCCTTCCTGTCTCCCACCTTCTGCTCTTTCCATTCACAACCTACAGCTTATGCTGCAACCTGACCTGTGTGCTGCTGGCCTCTCACTGCCTCTCCTCCTGGCCTGGAGCCCCAAGCCAAAGACAAGCCTTCACCACTGCGTAGCAAGCACCTAACACAAGAGCCAGCCATAGTGGGTGTTGAGACAACAGAGGTGACCGTGCCTCTCTCCTCCCCAGCACTCATGCAGCCAGCCCAGGACAAGGGTATGTGAGGGGAAATATGCAGTGTGTGGTAGGTCAGAAATTGTGCTCAGCCTGCCTGAAACAGTACTAAGCACCCCAGAATACCTGGACCAGAGCCTCGAACGACTCCACAGAGTGTGAACTGCAGGTACCTGAGGCAACATCGTGAGCATGTTCTCTGGGCTGGCGTCCGCCTTCTGAGGAGCTGGTAACACAGGTGGGTTTGCTGGTTTCAGTCCAGGCATTTCCACCCTCAGCCTCTCCCCTTCTGTGGGGCTGCCGCCTAGAGCTGCAGAGAGAACCCTTCATCTCAGCGGTGCCACCAGCCCTGAGGAGGCTTAGAGAAAGGGTTACACAGGAGGGTTACACAGGTGGCCTGGAGAGAGGGTTACCCAGGTGGGCTCTGAGAAGTCAGAAGGAACCACATAGTTATCCACTCCCCATATGTTTCCCCTAAACAGTGTCTGTTCCAGAGAGCACAACATAGCGCCAAACAGGCACCCTGTCCGCAGTCTGCAGAGCCGCAGCTTCCCCAGTGGCAACCATCTTAGAGGAGCTTGGGGGAGGCTCTGTGTCCTCCCCAGAAGTCTGCTGGGCTTTCCCAACACACCGCATCGGGTGCTAGGACAGCAATGGTCAGGACTCAGTGTTCAAGCTCACACTTGACATTCTCTGAAGGAGAGAGGCCAAGGACAGCAGCGCTGACCCCGGATACCCAGACAGCAGTTATCCGGCACCAACTACATCTGTTGCCACAGTCAGGTGGTTACACACAGCTCTCTCTTCCTACCCCTCTGCTTTTCCTGCTCCCTTGCTGCTCCCTCCATGCCTCCTGGAGGTGTTACAGTGAACTTCGGGACAGCATCTGCCCTTAGCCCAAGTACCCTCAGGCGCCACTGGTGTTTCTGGTACCTTTCCACTGGCTGGACAAGTGGGTGTAGGACAGGAATGCACACAGAACCAGAAAGGCCAACAGGAAAAGAATCACGTTCCGCTGTAATCTCGACAGCTGCTTCCATTTCTAGGGAAAGGGCAGAGAGTGACATTTCTTACCGAAAACGTGACAACTGAACCTCTCTCACTGTCACAGACCGAGGGAGGGCAACAAGTTCTTCAGAAAGACCCAGGGGTCGGTTGTCCCCGTCTGCGTTCGGAAAAGCTCAGGGTCAGCAGGGTTTGCCTTGCTGGACAGCACCGCAGGTGGCAGGACATATGGTTCCCGCACACTGACAGTGACAACCAGAGACCTTTCTGCCCGGTTGCCTGGGCATTGCAGAATGACTCCTGCGATGCCCGTGATCTGGCCCCGGGCCAGGCACGGCAGGGCATCTACCCTATTTTGCCTACGCGCCCTTCAGCCGGAACTACCACGAACACCCCAGCAGGGAACTACGTGGGGTGTATTACTCGCTGTACTGAAGAACGCAGGGCTACCGCACAGGGTTCAGGGACTTCCGAGGACTGTCGAAGCCCGGCGCCCCGCGCCCCGCGCCCCGCGCGCAGTGCCCGCTCCGCGGAGGCCGCCGCAGCACCACCCTTGCCTCACCCTCCAGCACGAGCGCCGCCGCCGGCTCTTGTTGTTATCGTAGCTCTCGCCTAAGCTCAGCGTCACCGAGATGAAGTCCCGGTGAGGCGCCGGCGGCGGCGGGGGGTACATGGTGACGTTGCCGGCCTTCGAGAGCCCGCTTGATTGCGGCTTCAAAAAGCCAGAGTCTGAAGCGGACCGGGGACGGCCATCGCTTTACAATCCACACCCCGCCCATGGCCCTACAACCGAATGCGCACGCGCCCTTTCCTCCGCCAATCTGCGCACGCGCTCTGTTCGCCACGTCCCTCTGCGCATGCGCCCTCCTCCCGTGATGCACAGTGCGCTCTTTTCCTACGCACGTCGCCTACGTATTGAACGTCGCCGCTCCATCACACGTGATTGCGTGTGCGTCCGGATGCGGCAGAACGGATCGCACCGTAGCGCTTCCAGGCGTCTTTGCCGGACGTCACGTTGCTCGGTTTCCGCCCCACCCGGTGTTCCGGCAGGACCCACAGGGTCGCGCCCCCGGGGGAGACGCCATCCCTGGGGCGGACGGCGGGGCCCATGTGTGCTCCTCCGCGTCTGCGCGGCGCCCCCCCCCCGCCCTCCCGCAGCGGGAGCGGGAGCAGGCGAGGCCGCACTGGGTGGACAAGGTCTCCAGGCCGGGGAGGCCTTTGCGCGGCCCACGCGGGTCAGGTCGCGTCTTGGGCACCTGGAGTCCGCCCGGCGCCGGGACCCCTGCCTCAGATCTAAGTCGACCGCGCCACGCTCCTCCCGGGTCCCGA